TCGCAAATGAATTGCCCTTTTGGCGCCCTTAACATTTTCAAAAATTCACCAAATTTGCCAAAGCGTGTAAAATTTTGTATTTAAAGGATTCCGAAAAATCACAAAAGAAATGACTGAAAAGCACCCCCTAGAAACTGAAATTCCACCCTTTATGTACTGTTTACTTTTATGTAGAATTATAAAATTCACTATGGTTGTAGAACTTATGAAGCCGCACAAAAAAGTCTCTTGCACATATGTTGTAAAATCAGCAGGAAGTTGGCCATATTGGATCAAAAATGCCATTTTTACCCCATTTTGGTCGTTTATAGGGTCTGCTTTTGATTTAATTACTGTCATTTTCATACAGTCGTCTCAAATAATATCTAAATTTGCTCAGAAGGAATGGGCGATCAAAATGGAACTAAGATACTGAGTTTTTGTATATGATGAAGGGGCGGAGCCAGGCCTCGTAGTTCAACTACTCCCCCAAAAAATATAAGCGGCTATAACTTCATTAGTTACAAAATATTCTGTGGTAATCAGTGTTGCCAACTTAGCGACTTTGTCGCTGTTCCTGATGAATTTTGACCCCCCTCAACGACTTTTTTTCCAAAAAGCGCCTAGCGACATTTCTCAGGACCCGTTGCTACTTTCTGTAGAACTTTCTTGCAGATATTCCCTACAGATTAGCAACAAAGAAACCATTTGCACTCTGAACCGTTCTGCTGGGAGTAAGGAAAGAGAACGATAACCTGCACATGTGCACGAGGACTGACAGCCCCCCTGGGGAGGTCTGACAGAAGCGAGGCTGCCATTTGGCACCATCGGCCCCTCTAACCACCACTAACACGGGCAAGTTGGGTGACGTGTCTTGCCCAAGGACACAACAGCAGGATACCACTGGCGGGAGCTGGAATCGAACCCATGACCCTCCGATAATGAGGCAACCCGCTCTACCACCTGAGCTACTGCCTGCCCCTAATATGTATATATAACCACCTAGATGCCTCGTCCCGGCTGTTCGCCAATGGGATGCGACGTAGGAACGTGGCGGTCATCTTACCTCAGACAGCGGCCCCCTTTCTTGACAATGGGGTGTATGGTGCATGTACTATTTAAACAACTCTAACTTGCTCAATTTTCAACCGATTTTCAAAAGGTTTGATTTGTTATAAACACCAGAGATGTGACTATGAAATAAGTTGGGTTTGGCCGAGAAATTCCTGTTATTTCACTCCACAAAGCATTTAATCTTTCATAGATAACACATTTAATTGTAACTTAAAGTATACATGGCATATTATTATATTATATACATATATACATCTATATATATATATATATATATATATATATATATATATATATATATATATATATATATATATATATATATATATATGAGAGAGAGAGAGAGAGAGAGAGAGAGAGAGAGAGAGAGAGAGAGAGATGTATATAAAATCCTGCCACGTGAATTCATGGATTTTTTTTCACGTTCTGTCCCTCACAGTTGAAGTGTACCTATGATGTAAATTACTGACCTCTATCATCATTTTAAGTGGGAGAACTTGCACAATCGGTGGCTGACTAAATACTTTTTTGCCCCACTGTGTCTATGGGAGGATGTATGGAAGTATATTTGGTGCAATAAGATTTGTGTTTTGTCACTGGAAACTTGAAGTCACAGAGAAATTTTCAGAAAAACCCTATCTGTCACATGTACAAAACAACAGCTACAACTATTCAAAATGTTAGGCACGAGTACACAAAATGCATTCTTTGAGTCACACCTTAAAAAAATCTTACAGCTACAATTTTGCCCCAATTGATACAAAATATGTGGTGCAAAACACATCCACATACTTGTGTATGACACAAACACTTGTGCTCATTATACTGTCACAAACACAAAACTACTGTTATGCTTCACAAACTATTCATTGCAGGTACACAAATTTGTTACTGCAAGTTACTGAATATGGAATTCCTGCTCTAATAAATTTGCTCCACTTAGTCCTGCAAGTCTGGACTAATTCAAACACTTGTAATAACTTCTTCCCACAAACATGTGGTTTTGTCATTTTTTTCCTTACCACAAACACAAATGAGTGAATACAACTGCACAAAACTGCTGATGTGAGTCACAAATGCTGCTTTTCAAGCTAAACATTCTTTTTTACACCACTTGTCTCAGTCAGATACCTGTTGTAGCTTGTGTGTAATTTGTATGGTCATCCAGCAGAGGGCGCTGCTGACCTAAGTATAACAAACCGGGAGAGGGTGCTCGCTGCAGAACTACAAAGGCGGAGCTGCACCAGAGTCAGCCCCGCCCATTCACGCAAACAGCCTAGCCCACTGACTGCTTTTTCTTCTTAACTTTATCGCAAACTAACCGGACCCACATGAATTATGACTGTGACTAGTTTAGAATTGTTAATGCTATGTTCTCCAATTAAACAAGATAAATATAACTTGCTACATGACAAAGCCTGAATATATCCCGAAACGAAAAGGTTTCTTCTAGCAAACATCTGCCCGCAGCCGCTCAAACAAAAGCGGCCTACAATAGCATTTATGGCTCGTTGTTAAATGGGCCGTAATAGTCCAGTGGCATGAATGCCTGACTTAAATTTTGCTTTCCCCTCAGCTGATGCTGGTTCGACTCTCGGTGAGGTCGGCAGCAATCTATTTAGCCAGCTGAAACATTTAATTTGTTTATATTTTAGTTGTAATGTTTATTTTCTGCAAAATATTTATGTCTCTAAAAGTTCTTTGAATTTGGTCATTCCTAAACAGCATTTTAGTTGAAACTCTGCTCACAAATGGACTCACACTGGCTAAATAAACAAACAAAAACAAAAACAAAAAAAAAAACATTAGTCATTATATTTTAGACGGTATACCAATAAATGGTTGGAAACATAGTACTGGCAAGTGTAGCTAGAAAAGAAGAAAAAAGTTTATGCTGCTACTGGGAGGTGAACCTGCACAAAACTGCACGCCAATCTGACGGTAACAGTCCAGTGGCGTTACATGTAATTGTGCCATCCAGTGTCTTTGTAGATGGGATGTATGGTTTTTCGGCGGTGTCTCAGTAGAAGTCGTTTCAGAAATAATTTGTCAGAAAATTCACAGAATATCCAGATTTGAGAACCAAACCAGACCCACTTCAGGGTGAGGAGACCAAATTGAAGCTGAGATGGGGGGAAAATGCGTGAATGAGGCCAAAAATGGCTTTGGCGTATTTCTTATGAGGAAATGACAATATAACATGATAAAAAGTTCAAAAATTTAGATTTTTAATTATATTCAATTCAATTCAAGTTTATTTATAAAGCGCCAAATCACGACAAGAGTCATCTCAAGGCACTTCACATAATAAACATTCCAATTCAGGTCAGTTCATTAAGCCAATCAGAAATAATGTTTCCTATTTAAGGAACCCAGCAAATTGCATCAAGTCACTGACTAGTGTCAGTGACTATACAGCAATCCTCATACTAAGCAAGCATGCAGCGACAGTGGAGAGGAAAACTCCCTTTTAACAGGAAGAAACCTCCAGAGAATCCTGGCTCAGTATAAGCAGCCATCCTCCACGACTCACTGGGGATGGAGAAGACAGAGCAGACACACACACACACACACACACACACGCACGCACGCACACACACACACAAACACACACACACACACACACACACACACAAAGACAAGTAATGTGTCTACAGTTATATTGTGATGTCTTAGTAAATATTGTATTTGGTGAAATATAAACTTTATTGTATTTATCCTAGTGGATCTATAATTAAACGGATAAACTAGTAGTAGCACATCAAAAGTCAATGAAAACAAAAAGTTATTATCAGGAGAGGGAGAACGTTTAAGTGGTTAGCAGCAGTGTGCTAGTCGATGGCCCCCTCCATGAGGCCACCACAGCTCAGCAGAACGTCATTGTAGCTTCTTCTGGGGAGAAAAACACTTAGAGAGAAAATAAAGTTAACAGCTGAAATTGCACAAAATAGTACAGTTAAAGAGCAGATTGTAGAATAAAGCAGTAGAGTGTGAAAAGTGGTCAGTGTACCTTTACAAACCTTTACAAAATCTCTTCAATTAACCTCTCAACTCCGTCCTCAATCTTGCATTTTAGATATTAGCTATAACACCCTCTTTGGTTCCAGAATGCTATCATGTCTGACAACTGGAAGGAATTGGACTGATGCAGGTGGAATGGGCGGGGCTGACTCTGGTGCAGCTCCGCCTTTGTGGTTCTGCAGCAAGCACCACTTGCAAACCGGAAACCCCTTTCTCTTTTTTTCTTTCACAAAAGCTTTATTGAACTCAAGAACGTTTGACACGAGTAAACACATGTTTGGGCTACAGAGAGCTCCGTGAGGAATTCCATATACAGTAACTTGCAGTAACAAATTTGTGTACCTGCAATGAATAGTTTGTGAAGCGTAACAGTAGTTTTGTGTCTGTAAGTGACAGTATAATGAGCACAAGTGTTTGTGTCATACACAAGTATGTGGATGTGTTTTGCACCACATATTTTGTATCAACTGGGGCAAAATTGCAGCTGTAAGATTTTTTTAAGGTGTGACTCAAAGAATGCATTTTGTGCCCTCGTACCTAACATTTTGAATAGTTGTAGCTGTTGTTTTATACCTGTGAAAGATAGGAATTTTCTGAATTTTCGGCAGTTACTTTAACTTCCCAGAGTCAATACACAAATATTTATGCACCAGATATTTTGGATCAACTGGGGCAAAAATGTAACTGTAAAATGCTTTTGATGTGTGACTCAAAGAATACATTTTGTGTACTCGTGCCTAACATTTTGAATAGTTGCAGCTGTTGTTTTGTACATGTGACAGATAGGGGTTTTCTGAAATTTTCTCTGTGACTTCAAGTTTCCAGTGACAAAACACAAATCTTATTGCACCAAATATACTTCCATACAGACCTACCAATCAGCCAATCGTGAGCGAGCCCTTCCAGACAATCAGAGGCGAGAAAGGCGGGATCTTCCTCAGACATCCTATGATTCCAAATAACGCGCCCCGCGTATCATCAGCTAAAAGCTAACCGGCCATGCAACATGAAGCTGGCTAAACTATTTTGGTAATCGCGAACATTTACTTGATGTTTACTGTCTTGATAGTTTGAACACAATGATTTCCGTCAGTTATATTCTGTTGTGTGGTCAGTTTGTACTACTCTTATCGGTCATATTGCTGTACTGCTTGGAAGGAAGTCATTCCCAAAACTCCTCGGGAACGAACCTTAGCGCTGCCACATCCTCTCCTTTTCCCGGGCAGGGAGCGACTGCTGTCCCCATCAGCGAACAGCTCGACACCGTAAAAGACGGAGGACTAGCGGATAATTCCACAGAGTGGTTGGAGTACAGGCCCGCGTCGCCAGTTGTTCTCTGCAGCTATCTGTAAGTGAGACATGCTAGTGTTAGCTCACGCTAACTTACATTTGGCTTATAACCGATAGCAAACAGCACATGTAACAGGCCAGTGCTTATTCTAATAAGTCGTTCTCTAATAAAACGCTCATGTTGTTTTCGTGGTTTAGTTAGCTAGCACGTTGTGACGTCACTCCTCCAGTAGTAGTTTCTCATAGATGTTTGCTTCCTGTTTACTCTGCGGTGAAGACCCGATGAGTTCATCTACTGCCAGGAGCCCGTGGATCATGCGGGTAACTACAGCGCCTTTCAGGAGACGGGCCACGGATGCGTGGGGGTGAGTGCTGAGTCTCCCACCGCCGAGCTGAGCGGCTCTGAACGGTACCTCATGCTGGTTCTGCTGATCTTTAGTGGGGCGGACAGACGCAGAAGGAGGTGAACCACACGCAAGTTATCTGCACTGCTCTGGATGATATAGAATGTGCGGGACCCCGAGATTTCCTCAGAGGGAACGTGCCCTGCATCAAGTGAGCACACACACACACACACACACACACACACACACACACACCTGTGATGTCTTAGTAAATATTCTATTTGGTGAGAGATAAACTTTATTGTATTTATCCTAGTGGATCTATAATTAAACGGGTAAACTAGTAGTAGCACATCCAACATCAAGGAAAGCAAAAAGTTATTATCAGGAGAGGGAGAATGTTTAAGCGGTTAGCAGCAGTGTGCTAGACCAGGGGTTCCCAAAACTTTTCAGTCCGTGACCCATAAATTAACAGTTTCAAAGTCTCGCGACCCCCTGGAGATGAGTGAAATAATTAAACACACACGTGGAACTTAATCTTTAATAAGTGTACTCAAATAGACAGGTTTAGAACCCTCAACAGGTAAATATGGCACGAATTTACATTTGAAAACTGTAAAAGGCGACTCTGAAAACATTCTTGCTGTTGTGTGCAAACTTTAACATGTAACAATCCTTGGCAGTTTTGATAAGAATAAGGCAGTCAGTTAGCATTTTGGTTAATTTTCAGCTTCTAAAGTGACAGCAACTCAGTGCCACAACAATCTCCACACTTTCTCCCTAATTTTACTCTCTCCCGTCCCCCTCCCTGCACACGCTCACACATACACAGCATTGCCATGGCAACAAATGGACATGCATCTCTGCCTCCCTTGAGTAAACATTTCCAGAACATATTAAAACAACACTCCTAAACGGGTTACAAATGTTTGTAACAAATGCAATTCTTGATGAAATCTTAAAAAAATGGTAACGGAAAAGTGCTTTCATTTCAATGTAGCAAAAAAAAAAAAAAAAACTCATGCAAAGTCACAAACAATGTAATACAGAGGAACTTTGTTTCCGTGCTTATTCACATTTTCAGAATGTATGAGATGGGTGGGCAATATGCTTGGAGCCGAGTAAATCCATTCTGGGTTTAATTTTAGAGATGGCCACTCGAAGATCATCCTGCACGTTAAGACGTGATCTGTATTTATTTTTAATATATGTGAGGGTTGAGAAAGTCTTTTCGCACAGGTATGTGGAGCCAAACGGCATCAGAATGTCAATCGCAGCCTTAGAAAGCTGTGGATATTCTCTCTCAACTGAAATCCAGAACTCAGCAAGCATCTTTGAGTTAAAAGCACTCTTTAAGGTGCGGTCACTTGACAGTTCAACCAGTGCGTCCTCAATGTCGGATGACAAATGATGTGTGCTTGTTACGGTGAATGGGGATCTTATCCAGTCATATTTTTCTGGAGCTGTTTCCTCAGGAAAAAACTTGATAAAGTGATCCAAGAGGGTTTGAAGGTGCATGGTGATATACCCCTTAACGGTGTTAACACACAAATCATTTTCCTCCATGAACTCCTCCAGTTCAGGAAACATGTCAAAACAGCCCGTTTTTACTCGTGCAGACCACCGATCCCGTTTCCTTTTGAATGCATTAATTTTGTCATTCAGTGACATGATGTTTGCGTTTTCAACTTGTAGTGATGTGTTTAACCCATTCAGCTTGTCAAATATGCAAGCCAAGTATGCTAGCCTTGTTAACCAGTCAGGATCAGTCAGATGGGCAGCAAGGTGAGATCCGTGCTCCAACAAAATTTACAAAATGCGCACCTCATCCCGCAGCTCAAACAAGCGCCTGAGAACGTTTCCCCGTGACAGCCGCCTGCCTTCTGTGTGGAAAAGCAGACTTTGATGCTCTGATCCCATTTCGTTGCAGAGAGCAGCAAACAGTCTTGTGTTCAGAGGACGGGATTTTATGTGGTTGACAATTTTTGTTGCACTCTCAAGCACCGTTTTAAGCTCTGGGTCTAGCGATTTACTCGCCAGAACTTCTCTGTGGATAATGCAGTGCGTAAAGTTTATGTGTGGGGCCACTTGTACAACTCTTGCTTTAAGTCCTTTATTTTTCCCCAGCATTGCTGCAGCACCATCTGTGCACACACTGATGCATTCATCCCAAGACAGCCCCTCCTCTTTCAGTTTTTGATCAATTTCTGTGAAAATGTCCTCACCTGTGCACTTTGCTGACAGTGTGGTGCAAAACAGCATGTCCTCGTGAAGTTTTCCATCAAAACTGTATCTGACAAAAACGAGCAGCTGTGCAGAGTTTGCGACGTCTATGGATTCATCTAACTGCAAAGCGTATTTTCCTCTCTTGACTCTGTCAATCAACTGACACTTGATGTCCTGCGCCATCTCTGTGATGCGCCGGGATATTGTCCCATCAGACAGCGGGACCGCTTTCAGCTCCTGGGCTTGTTTATCCCCATGCATTATTTGGCTCATTGCGATGGCAGCAGGTTTTATTAGGATCTCTCCGATTGTGTGCGGTTTTTTTGCCTGTGCAATTAAATATGCCACCTCATATGATGCCTTTTGAGCTTTTGCAGAGATTGTTTTCTGGTTGGTCATAACTTTCTTTTGGCTTTGAAATGCTCTCTCTTTTCGACGGAAGAAGTCTGCTGGTTTAGCTGCAAATGAGGAGTGCTTAGTCTTCAAATGTCGGAGCATTTTTGCAGGCTTAAAGCTCTCATTTGCAAGCAACTCAGTGCACAATACACATTGGGGGTATTGTATTTCGTTTATAACAGTGCACGTAAATCCATACTGGATATATTCCTCTCGATACCTGCGAAATTTAGGCGAAGGCTGATTCAGCTGCGCCTTGCGCAGCAGTTTATGGGCTCCTCCTCCCGCCTCAGATGTGGAAGGCGGACCCCCGCTGTTCTCTGAGTCTGCTGCTGCATGATCAGTTGGCTTCTGTTTGTTGTCTCTAATCTGTGTTAACCAGCGCTTCATATTGCATATAAACAATATTACCGTAAAACTTTTTGGAATATTTCAGTTGTTCAGAAGAAACGTGTTTACCGCGGCGCTGCAAAGTAACCCGTCGGTCGCAAATTGAACTGCCGTAAAGAGCCTTGTTTCGCGACCCAGCAGGGGCGTATTGCGACCCCCGGGGGGGTCGCGACCCCGGAAATGGGAACCCCTGTGCTAGACGATGCCCCCCTCCATGAGGCCACCACAGCTCAGCAGAACATCATTGTAGCTTCTTCTGGGGAGAAAAACACTGAGCAAAAAAAAGTTAACTGCGTAAATTGCAGGAAATAATGTAGTTAAAGAGCAGATTGTAGAAGAAAGTAGTAGAGTGTGGAAAGTGGGCAGTATGTCCTCCCGCAGTCTAAGCCTATAGTAGCATAACTACAGAGATAACTCTGGATAACCTAGCAGGGTTTTTTGGGGGAATAATGCTTGACCGCGAACTCTGCTGGAAACCCCACATAAAATATGTAAACAGGGTTTTTCCTGGCTCAAATTGAGGCAGAGGTGGTACCATCCTGACCATGCATACTCTGTGCATTCAACTGCCTCACTTTTTTTAAAGGCAACATATTATAAAAGGCTCGATAATATGCATTAGACTAGTGTTTAGTTCCCTTTTTCCCATCTGATATTTATAGTTAAAAATATTTTTATATATTTGCCCTACATTTCACTAACATTTTAGGTTTGTATTAAAATCACTCATCTTGGTCAAAATAACACAAATATGTCCAGTAAAATACAATACATTTCATTAACATGCATTTGTATTGGAAATGGTAATGACATTTAATTTCTGCTGCTAACAATGTAATGGTGGCATGTCTATTATGTACGGGTTGGGGGGGGGGGGGGGGGGGGGTCCGTTTGGACTTGGCCTCCAAAATGCCTTGAAACGGCCCTGGGTGTGTGACTGAGTTTTGAAGGTGATCTGAATTGTATCAGATGTATAAATATGACATGTGTATAACTTATTGTTTTATACAGGTTAGTGAACAAATCACAGAGCTTTATCCGCTTTGTGGGCCAATCAGGGCACTCTATACTCCTGGTGGGTGGGATGATGCAACAGAGTGAAACAAGAGTATGTCACATTCATTGTCCAGTGGAATGCGGAGATCATTTGAAAGACAACGGTAGAACCCGCCCCACAACCGAGAGCCGTCAGTGGAGCGTGGCCAGACTAAATAATACATTTATTTAGTCTGGCTTGCCAGGCTAGTTAAAACATGTTGTGGAGATAAATCTACCTACATTTTACTTTCACTCTTTGTTTTCTTGTTTTTATTGAACTATTTTCCTGTCTGTCTCTCATCTTCCTGCATCTCCTCTAAAATCTCCAGAAAAACTGCAGCCTGGATTCTTACTTTTTCACCTCATAATTTAATTTTGAATTACCGTAAATCCTCCGAATGTGAAGCGGCTGGGATGAGGATCAGCACCTCCAAATCTGAGACCATGGTTCTCGACCGGAAAAGGGTGGCTTGCCACCTCCGGGTCGGGGGAGAGGTCCTACCTCAAGTGGAGGAGTTTAAGTATCTCGGGGTCTTGTTCACGAGTGAGGGTAGGAGGGATCGGGAGATCGACAGGCGGATTGGTTCGGCGTCTGCAGTCATGCGGACGTTGAGCCGATCTGTCGTGGGGAAGAGGGAGCTGAGCCAGAAAGCCAGGCTCTCGATTTACCGGTCGATCTACGTCCCAATCCTCACCTATGGTCATGAGCTTTGGGTAATGACCGAAAGAACGAGATCGCGGATACAAGCAACGGAAATGAGTTTCCTCCGTAGGGTGGCCGGGCTCAGCCTTAGAGATAGGGTGAGGAGCTCGGACATTCGGGAGGGACTCGGAGTAGAACCGCTGCTCCTCCGGATCGAAAGGAGCCAGTTGAGGTGGTTTGGGCATCTGGTCAGGATGCCTCCTGGACGCCTCCCCGGGGAGGTGTTTCGGGCATGTCCTGCCGGCAGAAGGCCCCCGGGTCGACCCAGGACACGTTGGAGAGGTTACATCTCCAATCTGGTCCGGGAACGCCTTGGGGTCCTGCCGGAGGAGCTGGTGGACAAGGCCGGGGAGAGGACGGCCTGGAGCTCCCTAATTGGGATGCTGCCCCCGCGACCCGGACCCGGATAAGCGGAGGAAGATGAAGACGAATCCTCCAATACAGGCCGGTATTCAATTAAAGGCCGGGTCTCCAATTTTGGCCGGTGTCGGAGCCGGCGGAGGTGATTAAAGGCCGGTCTCTTATTGTGGCCGGGTGGAATGTGGTAACAAGCAAGTACGGGGGGCGGTTGTGTCATCGTCTCACTTTTGATAGTGATAGACCGCGAGGGTAACTTTAACCGTGCGGAGAGAAGAGGAGGCTGTGCCAGAGTGTCGGTACTGACACGCGATCGTTCATGTCGGTTCATTTCCTTTAAAGATTTCTGTCTTTTGTTTGCGCCTGATGTGTTTCGCTGCATGCTGTGGAGCGGGGCACATCAGCTTGTCCTCCAGTGACGCACCGATCACTGATGCGCCCGCCAAGCACGGAGCACTCCGCTGTTTTTACGGTCGGTAGATCTGCCTCCTGAGCACGGCCACAGTAACAATCAGGTGTCGCCACATTTAACATGCGATCGTTCATGTCGGTTCATTTCCTTTGATGTTTTCTGTCTTTTATTTGCGCCTGATGCGTTTGGCTGTGGAGCGGGGCGCATCACCTTGTCGGTGACGCACCGATCACGCGGCCACCAAGCAGCGAGCACTCCGCTGTTTTCTGGTCGGTAGATCTTTTAGAACTGCAGTTCAAAGGTAACTCATGAGGTGAATATATATGAACCCAGGTAGCAGTTTCTCTTTAGGACTGAGAGGAGATGCAGGAAGATAATAAACAGGCAGGACAGAAAAATAGTCAAATAAAAACAAGTTAGTTTTTGTACCTGCTGGTTGCAACAAACAGACACCATTGAAGGTAATCAGAAGTGAGGACCAGAAAATGAAATAATTATTTTAATGTTTAGAGCAGCAGGAACTCCG